ATTGAATAAGTGAAGTGAATCAAGACAACTTTTAGCCATGGTACATTATTCAGAGTTATATAGCAGCTTCATTTATGATTGTTGAGTTCACTTGGATAGAGTGCTGTTCCCATGATAGAAAATGTAGTTTTCCCCAGGTGTCTGTTTTCTCGTTCTTCTAGTGTGATAGAATCCTCCAGTTTTGACCAGAACATGACTTCTAAGAACAGAGGCGTCCTTGTGTCTCTCATGGCCATGGGACTGAATTCTGGCTGTTGCAAAGTAAGCATAAGTTTTATGTGGCAGCTTCGTTTTATGTGGAGCCTTCCTTAAGAGACAGCCCTTGTCTCTCTTATTCAAGATCCTTTCGCAGTCTTGCTGTCTGGAATGCACATGCCACAGTCTTAACCGTGGGCTGATAGAATGGTGAGCTGACAGGAGCCTGGGTCCCAAGGACTTCCTGGAGCAAAATTGCTATGGTGGCAGAGATAAATCTTACTGGGAAAGAGAAACATTTCTGTACTGTATAGTCCATAGTTAATTTGGGATTGTATTTTCTCTCCCTTGTAACCGATCCTCACCCCATCTATGTAGAGGTAGACGGGCTGAGTTTTATCAGATTGGATTTCTAGGAAATAAGATCAGAGTGAGGCTGCATGAAACCAAGTTTCTCACCATCTTCAGAGCCATTTTAAAGTGTGTGCCTTACTGATTGCTGGTGAGTCATGTAACCTTTCAGTAAGCTTGGCATGTTATGCTTCTGAGTGTCTTTCCTTCCCTGGTTCTGGATTTGGTCTGACTATGTCAGGACTTGTACATGGCTTTTACAGATTTCCTGCAGTGACTGGTCTGCATTATCTTCCTGGATGTTGTAAAGATAGAGGGTTGGGTTAGGGAGAGGTCACTGATTATATAATCAACAGGTCACAGTGCTCTTTTTAGGCATCGTTATTTTTAGTCTGGACACGAACATCTTTTCCCTGAGAAAAAGTTTCCATCAATCTCACTATTTGTTGATATCTCTTAAAAAGGTAACAGTTGGTTGCTCGAATTTTGTGATATTGTAGCCATTTTATCAAAATGAAAGCAGAGGCCAAAACATAGTAGGTTTTTGTTCTGTATTTGATATAGCTAAAATTTCTAAGACTTAAAAATCAATTAGTAGCACACATTCTCTTATTCTTCTTGCGAAGCTTAATGTCACTAATTATTAGGCACCACCATGCCATTTAGTAATGGCATCTCTGTTATGTATTCACATGTTGTCTCAATGCACGTTCATTTACTGTGTCTGTGAGTTGCAGTGTTTTTATATTTTCCCTTAAAATGGATGTGTGTGTTTGGTACGCGGGTGTTAGGAAATGAGAGGAGGAGGGTCATTCTTCATTAAGTCATCACTTGAAAGGCTAATATGTGCAAGTCACTATGCTAACTATTGATGATATAAAGTTAAAAAGATACAAAGATTGAAAAAAAAGGGATTCCCTGTCTTAAATAACTCAGTTTTGGAGAGGCGGCTGCAACGCCGAGCAGAGGAGGCAGGAACCGGAGCGCGAACAGTAGCTGGGTGGGCACCATGGCTGGGATCACCACCATTGAGGCGGTGAAGCGCCAGATCCAGGTTCTGCAGCAGCAGGCAGATGATGCAGAGGAGCGAGCTGAGCGCCTCCGGTGAGAAGTTGAGGGAGAAAGCCGGGCCCGGGAACAGGCTGAGGCTGAGGTGGTCTCCTTGAACAGTAGGATCCAGCTGATTGAAGAGGAGCTGGACCATGTTCAGGAGCGCCTGGCCACTGCCCTGCAAAAGCTGGAAGAAGCAGAAAAAGCTGCTGATGGGAGTGGTATGAAGGTTATTGAAAACCGGGCCTTAAAAGATGAAGAAAAGATGGAACTCCAGGAAATCCAACTCAAAGAAGCTAAGCACATGGTAGAAGAGGCAGGTAGGAAGCACGAAGAGGTGGCCCGTAAGTTGGTGATCATTGAAGGAGACTTGGAACGCACAGAGGAATGAGCTGAGCTGGCGGAGTCCTGTTGCCGAGAGATGGATGAGCAGATCAGACTGATGGTCTAGAACCTGCAGTGTCTGAGTGCTGCTGAAGAAAAGTACTCTCAAAAAGAAGACAAATATCAGGAAGAGATCAAGATTCTTGCTGACAAACTCAAGAAGAGACCTGTGTTAAGTTTGCTGAGAGATCGGTAGCCAAGCTATGATATGATTGATGACTTGGAAGATAAACTGAAAATGTACCAGAGGAGCACCTCTGTAGACAAAGAATGCTGGACCAGACTCTGCTTGACCTGATTGAGATGTAGAACGCCCCAGTCCCACCCTGCTGCTGCTCCTCCCTCTGACCCTGACTCCACCTGAGGCCAGCCTGCCCAAAGCTGCCCTTTAACTGAGGGCTGATCTTTAACTGGACAGCTGCTTTCTCCTTCCACCACCCCCTCCTCCCCTGTGTCTTTTTCGCCAGACCGTCTCTGCCTCTTCCCGGAGATTCCAGCTGGGCTAGAGGCTGCGCACCTTTGGAAGCAACATTTAAGGGAATGTGAGCACAATGCATAATGTCTTTAAAAAGCATGTTGTGATATACACATTCTGTAATTACCTTTTTTGTTGTTTTGTAGCAACCATTTATAAAACATTCCAAAGAATTCCACAGCCCTGAAGCAGCAATCGAATCCCTTCCTCACTTTGGGAAGGTGACTTCTCACCTTAATGCATATTCTCCTCTCCATAGAGGAGAGGAAAAGGTATAGGCCTGCCTTACTGAGAGCCAAACAGCCCAGGGAGACCCCACTGTGGGAAACCTCATTGCTCTCTACAAAGTACTAGCCAAACCAGAAAGCTGATTCCAGGAGGAGTTGGCCAAACAGCAACAACAACAAATGTGCTGTTCAGGTTTTCAGCTTTAAGATATCTTTGCATGTTATTTCTATTTTTTTATTTTATTTTTATTAGAAGTCACCAAATTAAGATGGTAATACCTCTGAGACAACATTTTTGTCCTATCACTACCCCCTCCCAACTGCTTACAGAATGGATCATGTCCCCCTTATGTTGAGGTGACCATTTAAATGCTTTCCTGCCTTGTCGAAAGAAAGAAGAGTGTGTTTGCCACTGATTTAGCCATGTGCAACTCATCTCATTACCCTTTTCTGGGTTCGAAGCTGCTGTCTCTGTCTCTAGAAGTGCCATCTCATTGTGCTTTGTATCAGTCAGTGCTGGAGAAATCTTGAATAGCTTGTGTACAATACTTTTTCAATTTTATATTATTGTGAAACTTTGCTTCTTTGGGTTTGTGGCACCCTGGCCACCCCGTCTGGCTGTGACAGCCTCTGCAGTCTGTGGACTGGCAGCTTGCAGATCTTTTTGTTTTTTTAAAGTTTCTTTCCCTACCCAGTCCCCATTTCCCGGTAAGGTTTCTAGGAGGTCTGTTAGGTGTACATCCTGCAGCTTATTGGCTTAAAATGTACTCTCCTTTGATGTGGCCTCTTTGGGGCTGATTGGGAGAAAGAGAAATCAGTAGTGCAACTGTGTTTGATACTGAATATTGGCAAGTGTCTTTTTGAAATAAAGAACCAGTCCCTCCAAAAATGAAAAATAATAATAAAAAGAACTCAGTTTAATGGAAAAGCAAATGAGGAAAAGAATACTTCAATTAAAATTCGTCTGCACAATGAAGTGTGGTCCAAAAGATAATGACAGTTCAACATGAGACTTATTTATGGGCTCATTAAATCCAGAAGTCTGAAAGGTTTCATGAACTCCTAGCCCAAAGCAATTCTACTGAGAGTCCCTGAAACAGCAGTGCGAGTCCCCACAACGGCCGGTGAAAGATTCGCCTACCTACATTTGTGAATGCTGAAAATTTAGTCTTTTAAAAACACAGTGCTTCTCAATTTCTCCTTTTGTGTTTTGGTTTGAAGCTACATGTTGTTGTTTCCTTTGGTTTTCTTCTTGGGGCATTATGTAATTGTCAGAATTCTGGTACCGTTCAGGTTCGATGTAGTCATTTTGGAAATTCCCAGGTATCCTCCTTCATATTTTTATTCTAAAAGCAATTCTGAAGAACATTTGCCTTCACAGTGTTTCAATTCAGTCTAACATTGGACCAGTGGGAGAATATAACAAGAGCATTGATGGGGAAAAATGGATGTGTGTGCAGAAAAACGTAAGCAGCATGATGTCGCCTCTTCTTCTCATTATCTGGAATTCATGTCTAATCTCTTAACCACCAGGCTGAGGCACATCATACACATGGTGGACAGGTGAACTGGGGGAGTTGGGTCTCAGGGATTTGGAAGTGCCACATTAAGTTTGTAGAGGCTCTATCCTTTAAGAACTGGATGCTTCTGTGCATGTTTTGTTAATTTTTTTCTAAGTCTACATTTTTCTTTTTTTTTTTTTTTTTTTTTGAGACAGAGTTTCACTCTTGCTGCCCAGGCTGGAGTGCAATGGCGCAATCTCAGCTCACTGCAACCTCTGCCTCCCGAGTTCAAGCAATTCCCCTGCCTCAGCCTCCCAAGTAGCTGGGATTACAAGCATGAGCCACCACGCCTGGCTAATTTTGTATTTTTAGTAGAGACGGAGTTTCTCCATGTTGGCCAGGCTGGTCTCGAACTCCTCACCTCAGGTGATCCACCCACCTCGGCCTCCCAAAGTGCTGGGATAAGCCTACATTTTCTAGTCTACCTAGAGTGATATTAGCCTTGTGCAAATTCCAGTATTGTTCCAAGAATGTAATGCAAGGCGGGGCACCGTGACTCACACCTATGATCCTAGCACTTTGGGAGGCCGAGGTGGGCGGATCACAAGGTCAGGGGTTTGAGACCAGTCTGACCAATATGGTGAAACCCCATCTCTACTAAAAATACAAAAATTAGCCGGCTGTGGTGGCGCATGCCTGTAATCCCAGCGATTCAGGAGGCTGAGGCAGGAGAATTGCTTGAACCTGGGAGGCAGAGGTTGCAGTGAGCCAAGATCGTGCTACTGCACTCCACCCTGGGTGACAGCAGACCTTTGGTCTCAAAAAAAAAAAAAAAAAGATATAATGCAAATGAAGTTATTAAAGTATTACACCTTTTAATATTTCAGAACGAAGACTTATTTAAAACATTTATTCTGTTGGGGCACAGGCCTGTGAGCCAGTTAGAGTTGCAGCGGTGGGAACAGTTGGGCTGAACAGAGGACGACATGTTGCTTTTCGTGGAGCAGGTAGCATCTGAAGGAGCTGGTTTAAGTCCTAATGCCAAACTATGACAAGAAATTGCTCCTGGGAGTGCTGATGCTACCCCAGTAACTCATGGAACTGAAAGCTCTTGACATGAAACAGCTGCCACCTCGGGTGTTCATCCTGAGGTTAACGCAGAGCTCTCAGAAGATATATGTAAAGAACATGAAGTAATGTGTTCTTCGTCTTGTGAAACCACAAGAAATGCTACAGGCATTGAAGAATCAACCGATGGGATGGTTTTAGGACCGGAAGATCTGAGTTACCAAATATGTGATGTTTCCGGAGAAAACAATCCAGCAATTTCTACAGAAGACCGAAAAGAATGTCTAAAGAAACAATTAGCATTCTGTTTTTCACAAGAAAATTTGTCAAAGGATCTTTACTTGATGTCTCAAATGGATAGTGATCAGTTCATCCCAATTTGGACAGTTGTTAACTTGGAAGAAATAAAAAAGTCGACTACAGACCCTGATGTAATTATTGAAGTGTTAAGATCTTCTCCCATGGTACAAGTTGATGAGAAGGGTGAGAAAGTGAGGCCAAGTCATAAGCGTTGTATTGTGATTCTTAGAGGGATTCCTGAAACAACACCAATAGAGGAAGTGAAAGCTTTGTTCAAATTGAAAACTGCTCCAAAGTGATAAGCTGTGAATTTGCATACAGTAGCAGCTGGTATATCACTTCCCAGTCAGACACAGATGCACAACAGGCTTTTAAATCCTTAAGAAGTTAAAACATTTCAGGGCGAGCCAATTATGGCAAGGATAAAAGCCACCAACGTTTTTTGCTAAGAATGGTCACTGATGAATGGATTCTAGTATCTATAGCCAGCCCATTCAAACTCAAGCACAGTATGCCTCCCCAGACTTTAGGCAGCCTGTATATAATCCTCACCAACAGTACTCGGTCTATAGCATTATTCCTCAGTTTTGGTCTCCAAATCCTACACCTTACTTTGAAACACCACTGGCCCCCTTTCCCAATGGTAGTTTTGTGAATGGCTTTAATTCACCAGGATCTTATAAAACAAATGCTGCTGCTATGAATATGGGTCGACCATTCCAAAAAATATCTTGCGAAGCCTCATTTTAGGTCATCTAGTGGTTCGGAACACTCAACAGAGGACTCTGTGTCATTGGGAGATGGACAATTGAAGATCTAGTTCAAGAAATTTTTCACCTGAACAGCATAACCCTACAGTAACTGGGGATTAGGAGCAAACTTAACTTCAAAAGGAGACTTCCACTTTGCAGATGGAACAGAATGGGGACTATGGTAGGGGTAGAACTCTTTTCAGAGGTCGAAGACGATGACAAGATGACAGGATCTCAAGACCTCATCCTTCAACAGTTGAATCAAAGGCTCCAACACCAAAGTTTGACTTACTAGCTTCAAATTTTCCACCTTTACCTGGAAGTTCATCAAGCATCCCAAGTAAACTCATTTCGGAGAATAGGATATCTGATGTTGTTAAAGGCATCTACAAAGAAAAGGATAATGAAGAATTGAGAGTTGGTTGCCTAGTGCCTGCAGATGAGCAGACAGAATGCACTTCTGCCCAGCAACTCAATATGAGTACCAGTTCTTCATGTGCAGCTGAGCTTACTGCATTAAGCACAACTCAGCAAAAAAAGGATCTAATAGAGGATTCCTCTGTTCAGAAGGAGTGTCCCAACCAGACGACTATACCAGTTTCTCCTCCAAGTACTACAAAGCCATTGAGGGCAAGTACTGCTTCACCATGCAATAGTAACATAAATGCAGCTACAGCTGTGGCTGTACAGGAACCCCGAAAGTTAGGTTATGCTGAAGTTTGCCAGAAGCCCCCTAAAGAGCCATCTTCAGTTCTTGTGTAGCCACTATGGGAACTTCGCTCCAATGTAGTGTCTCCCACCAAAAACGAAGACGACAGTGAAGCTCCTGAGAAGTCCCTTGAGAAACCACATGAGAAGTTAGAAGCAAGGGCTAGTAAGGATTATTCTGGCTTCTGAGGCAATACCATTCCCAGGGGAGCAGATGGAAAAATCAGGGAACAGAGATGCCAGTTTAGTCATAGGGCTATACCTCAGGGAGTGACATGATGTAATGGCAAAGAGCAATATGTGCCACCCAGATCACCAAAGTAAAAAACAACAAAACTATTCAAAAACTTCTTTCTCTTCCCATTAAACTTGAGCTGTGGCTACACTGAACAGTTTTGGAGGGGAGAGGGTAGCCAGAAAGGAAACAGGAGAAAGTACGTCCTTAAATCATTGTGGATTTTGGAGTTGTGAGTGATAGGATCCCAAAATTCATCTCTAATGTTATTTTTAAATACTGGATGATTTCTATCTGTCTGTCTGTCTGTCTATCTATCCATTCCTCCATCCACATATATAAAGTATATTTTTTCTATTTTTGTTTTTGGTTTTAATTTGCAGAGATTTGCTGCCAGGAATCAATTTTGATGGTTCAGTTTTAGCTTGGAGGAAAAAAAATACATTATACATCCTTCAGTATAGGAGATGAGGGAGTGAGAGAAAATATTTTTTGAAGAAGCATTTCTGTAAAATTAGAAATTACTTTTTAAAATCTATTTAAAATTTGGCTTGGAGAATGCCATCTCTGACTATATGATCTTACATTGCAAAGCAGATTAGTGGCTGGGGAGCCTGTTGTGGGTGTGAGTGTGTACGAGAGCGATTGAAGCAAAATCTGTTGTCATGTTAGTAAACTGACTTGAAAACTGAATGTAAAACTTGAGTAGATTTTTTTTTTTCTAGTTTGAAATTTAGTCTGTCTTTTTGACCTTACTAATATTTCATTCAACAAGTTGTAACACTGTTATTTTACTTGAAGATGTGACTACTAATCAGTTTGATGCTCAAGGAAAGAATGGGGGCTCTTCAAAAAATTGAAAATTTCATCTTGAATGTCAGCACGTAGGTGAAATATATTTCAGAGGCTTAAACTTCCCTGTGATTCCCCCCGCTAAAATGGGAAACCAATTTTTTTCTTACTCCATATGTTACTCTCTGTTGACTGCCCACCCCCAAAAGCAAAATAACCAACTACTTACTGAATTGTATGTTTGTCATTGCTTTGACCAGTGTAGTCAAGTCATATAAATTGTTCTAAATTTCAGAATTGAACGTTGAAGTATTTACTCTTCTCTTCACACATTTAGAATTTTAGATCCCAAGATGGTAGGGCAGACTGACCCTACAGTAATTTATTTGTTGTCAGTGTTAAAGATGAAACATTGTAACTGACTCTGAAGTGTTAAATCGTGTAGAAGTAAAATATTATTATTATTATTTTAAAGGCTTAATTTTGGGGGGGACTTATTTCTGTTTAACAGTGTATTTATCACCTTTCTTCCCTCCTCTTCTCCCCCCACACCCAAAAAGTACAGTCTGGAATTCACTGAAACAGAACCAGCAAGTCATGAGATTTTTTAGTAAAATTGAGAAAGATGGTTGAAGAAAATGCATAATTTCTCAGTGAAAAAGTTGTAGCTCTCATATACTAAATACACAAGTTTACATGCTGTTATTTAGAAAATGGCTAAAATATTAAAAGCCGTATTGCGTTAATCTGCTTTAGGTCATACCATGTTCAGAGTTCTGTGTAAGGTGGGTTTTATTTTTCTTTTAAGGGATAGTTTGTAATAGTAAGAACTGTCCTGTATATTAGATCACATGTATACAAATCGAAACTGTAAATTGTAAACACTGGAAAGCACCATTGTGACATAGATTAAACATCTTAGTAATATATTAAAGTGAATGTAAATGGTGGTTAAAATTACATTACTGTGAAATTTACCTTCCAACTCTAAGTTAAGCTTTGGAGATACGTATTAGCGATGAACTGTTAAGAGCTTTGAAAACGCTGTACATGTCTGTACAAGCCAGAATTACTATTTCTTTGACTTATTATTAGCGTGGCAGTTGCTTTTGATTTGGCTGTTTTATGACATGGTATACTACATTTACTCAGTTTGAAATTATTCATTTCTACACACTATTTTTTTAAAAAATCACCTACTAGGTGAAACATACAATAAAATTACCTGTGCTGAAATCTGGGGGAAGTTTAGGTCCTTTAAAAAAATGTATTAATCATTGACTACATCTATGATAAAAGTGCTTATTTTGGTTTACTAAGATAATACAGTTGGTGGAAATGATAAACAGTTTAAGTGTTAACATCCTTTGAATGCATTGGATTTCAGAGAATAAACATCTTGTAAAAATAAAAAAAAATTATTCTGTTGGCCTCACTTTTAGATGGGCAAATTCCTTGGTGCTAGCCATTCAAAATTGTGTGAAGGGCAGTATCTGACATAATTATAATATTTAGGGAAAGCTTTTGTTGTTTGACCTGACAACAAGTTCAGGTGTTTTTTTTTTCCCCCTCCAAGGGCTTTTAATAGAATTGCTTTGGTCTAAGAATTCATGATAGACTAAATGAAATCCTTCAGTCTGCTGGATTTAGTGAGACCATAAATTAGCCTCATGGTGCATGTTCTTTCTTTTCCCTCTTGCATTTGACACAATTCATTGAAATGATGACTACCTAAAAGTGGTTAGAATTTTCTGTGTGGAAAACTTGAAGAGAAAAGCTTTTCAAAGTAAAGTGTTTGTTTCTTTCATCATGGTGTCATCTGCTTTTGATCTTTTCCATTGTGCTTATGCTTAAAACTAGATTTCAATATATGTTCCCTAATGGTAAAAGTTTATATGCAAAATAGGTTTTCTGGCATTTTTTACTATCACATATAGAGTGAAGCTCGTGGTGACCCAGTTTTTCTCATGGGGCTTGAGGAAGGGGTGCGGACAGTTGGACCTGCCTGTAGACCTCCCTCTCTGCTCTTTAACTGACATAGAAGTGGTAGGAAGGAAACCTAAGCAGGTGTCATTGGCATGCCAGTGTGGAGTAGAGAGAGGCAGTGTTCATAGCAGCTGGGGGACCTGTGTCATGGGGAGCAGGGCCCAGCAGCTCAGGTTGGCCTTGGGGACAGGTTCCTGACATGAGCAAATTCTTGAGTAACTTTAATTCTAGCTAGATTTCTAAAGACAAGATCTTCATACACAGAAAAGCTGGGGAGTGGACTGTATTTCACCTCAGGGGCCTGTGGTTATAGACTTACGGAAACATGAGGAGCCACAGTAACAGCAAATGGGACTTATCCATGGGTGCCAGAGGATTTGGCCAGTGCTACTCACATTCTTCCCACCTGAGGTTAGGGCTGGTCTGGAAGTCATGGGCAGACCCTGGGGTGAGGTCAAGGAGCTCTAGCTGGAACCAGGCAGAGCCGGGCCTCCTAGTAAGGGGCAGGGAGCACTTCCCCAAGTGGGTCCTGTCTTGAATCATGTTGGTGCTTGTATCAGGGGAGGCAGCCTTTCCAGCTTCCTCTGGTCTGGGGAGGCCATTTTGATGGGGAGAAGAGAATTGAAGCTTCTTATATGAAATTCAGCCATTTCTAAGTGTTGAGACACACAATTGCATGGAGCTGCCATGTGCAGGGCGCACATTCAAATTTCGGGAGAATCTAATATAATCTAATGCAATATAAGCTGTGGTTCTATAAAATTTTGCATTTGTTTTTAGGGCTTTTGCAGCTATTGGGGGCTTTCACAGGATGTGAATTTTGTGTTTTTTGGTTGGGTTGTGTTATTTTGGGAACATACATGAAACTCAGTCACATTTTTAGGATATTGTATATGTGCCAAGGGAAATGTATGTTTTTCCGCCTGAATTTTTTTTTTTTTTTTTGAGATGGAGTCTTGCTCTGTCGCTCAGGCTGGAGTGCAGTGGCGCAATCTTGGCTCACTGCAAGCTCCGCCTCCCGGGTTCACGCCATTCTCCTGCCTCAGCCTCCCGAGTAGCCGGGACTACAGGCGCCCGCCGCCTTGCCCGGCTAATATTTGTATTTTTAGTAGAGACGGGGTTTCACCGTGTTAGCCAGGATGGTCTCGATTTCCTGACCTGGTGATCCGCCCGCCTTGGCCTCCCAGAGTGCTGGGATTACAGGCATGAGCCACTGCGCCTGGCCTTCTGCCTGAATTTTTATTTCTTATATAAATAACATTAAAACCAGAAAAAAAAGGATGAAGAAATCGCCCATAAACGTAAATCCATACTTTTTTTTTTTTTTTTTTTTTAACAATTGTGCCTTCCCTTTTAGATCTTGAGCATATTCTCACTTGAGACTGTAATTATAAACATACTATCAATAAAACTTTATCTATTTTTTACTTTATATTTATTTACAGCCAGTAGTTGCATGTTAACTTTATCCAGTGATGAACTTGTATCTGCCAAGTTGAACTTCAGTAGTGAATGGTGGATTTTAGGGTGAAAATGGCTTTCTGTGCAGGCTCCATTCTTTTGGCAAGTGTTGCAGTGGGGGTAACCAGTTGTTGAATGCCACGAGGCAGACAGCTCAGTACCCTGGACAGGGTCTTGGAAGTTGCTGTAGGGCTTGAGGGGAGCCCTCCTATGGGGTGGTTGGAACGTTGTTATTTGTTATAAGGCCTCTGAACTCGACTTTCTGGTCCTGTGGTAAGTTCCACAAGCTGTCTAAAACCTTTAGTAACTTTCATTTTTTGTTGAAACTAAATCGAGTAGATTAAGTTGTTTGCAACTAAGCATCTTGTGAAACATTGGCATACTGGTTCTTGAAAGTAATTTGTTTTATCATTGGGAGGCAGTGATTAAGAACCCAGAGTCTAAGGCCAAACTGCCGATATTCACATCCTGACTGTGTTAATTTGGAGAAGATACTTCACTTTTCTCCCTTAGTGTCTTAAGAAAACACTACTATTATTATAGTGATGATAATTAAATGAAACAGTACCTGCTAGCTAGTAAGTGTTCCCCCAGTGTTACCATCTTCATTATTATGATCATCATGACAGTAGGTATTTATTGAGCACCTACTCTTTATTAGAGTTCAACAAAATGAGGAAAAGTTACAAATAGGATATTCTAGCAAAATTTAGTATATAACAAAGCCTAATTGTACTGTGCAGAGTCTTAATGACACCTCCATCTCTGCTCATCCTCTGGTTTCTCTTAAGACACATAGAGAAGTAGGCAAGGCATTTATAGCCATCTAAGATTGGATTTATTGCAATGAATAACATTAAGTGCTGAGAATAACTGACAAAAGGATTTGACTGTCAATCAAGAATAAAAGGCTTGTGGTAAGATTTAAAATTTTGTGTTTAATAAGAGAAGAGCTTAATGCATTGTAAGGCGTTCCATTTGTTGTTTTAACATTGCCAGCATTTATTTTTAAAGTGGGTGGTTGTAGAATAATTATAGTCCATATCATGATGATGATGTTGTTTTTAGAGAAGATTGAAAATCTATAGTTTTTTCAAACTAATAAAGTAAGGAAAACATGTCATCTACTGAGGCTTCAAATAGTTTGCTTGACCTCGTAAGAGTACTACTGAGGTTATTTAGGGGAACTACATATTCAGGAAGGTACTTTTATGCAAATTTTTGCATTTCCTTGTGAAATTTTTTAAAGTATCAGCTTGGCAATTGGGGGTTGCGATGGGAGTAAGAAGCAGAAGACAGGGAAAAGGTATGAGATTATTAATACTATTATTTTAATATAACTGAGAATTTATTTGGGAAGAAAGTAGTAAAGATGGTAGTTATACCTACAATTTTTATAAATTATAAGAATTACAAAGTGAAAGTGGCCAATCATTAATACGGGTTTTATATGAGGTTTCTGTGACCTATTAAATTAAGAAAGATTAATGGGGTAGGACATATTTTTGTGTAGAAAAAGAATAAGGAAATATTTAAATGGTTTTAAAAAGTATTCCAGGCTGGGCGCGGTGGCTCACACCTGTAATCCCAGCACTTTGGAAGGCTGAGGCAGGTGAATCACAAGGTCAGGAGATCAAGACCATCCTAGCTAACACGGTGAAACCCTGTTTCTACTAAAAATACAAAAAAAAATTAGCCAGGTGTGGTGGCAGGCACCTGTAGTCCCAGCTACTTGGGAGGCTGAGGCCAGGAGAATGGTATGAACCCAGGAGGCAGAGCTTGCAGTGAACCCAGGAGGCACCACTGCACTCCAGCCCAGATAACAGAGTGAGAATCCATCTCAAAAAAAAGAAAAGAAAAGTATTCTAAACTTTTTTACTCTGCGAAAAGTTGGAAAGTAACTGTGCTTATTAGACATAGACTAGTAGCATTATGGTCACGGAATTAAATTTAACCTCTAGATGTTCATTCACTTATGATTGCATAGAGTTAATAGGATGTCTTAGGATTTCATACATTGAAGAATTCTCTGATAAGAGAGATTCATTCATGGCATTTTCTGTATAAGCAAAACCAGAAAATATTTGAAATTTAGAGGAAAAAATTGGACACCTTGGAGTAAAATTAGATTGCTTCATAAAACCCAACATATATAGCTAACCTGATGCAGCCACAAACTTGGTTTTCTGTGGAAGTTTTTAGAACTTGCTTTTCAAGAAACAGTCACAGAGTTGAACTTGGGCGAGGCTGGCCCAGTCCTGAATCTTGAAGAATGAGTTAGCTAGGTGGGAATACTGTCTTAATCATCAACTGTCAGTGTGGCCTATTACGTGAGGATCCCCAGCGCCTTAGTGTGCTCAGGCTGCCACAGCAAAATACCATAGATTGGGTAGCTTAAACAACAGATATTTGTTTTCGTACAAGTTCTGGAGGCTGGAAGTTTGAGATTAGGGTACTACCGTGGTCAGGATCTGGTGAGGGCCCTCTTCCTGACTTACAGGCAGCCACCTACTTGCTGTGTCCTAACCTAGCCTTTCTCAGTATGTCCAAGGGGATCTCTTCTCTCTCTCTCTCTTTCTCTCTCTCTCTCTCTCTCTCTCTCTCTATCTCTCTCGACAGAGACTTGCTGTGTTGCCCAGGCTGGAGTGCAGTGGCTATTCACAGGTCATAGGCATGATCCCTCTACTGAGCAGTAAGGAGGTTTTTACCTACTTCCTCTCTGACCTAGGCCCATTCATACCTCCCTAGGCAACCTAGTGGTCCCCCACTACCGGAAGGTCACCATATTGATGCCAAACTTAGTATGGACACCTGATCTGCATAGTATACTATATCCCAGAACTCTCGGATTCCAGCAATCCTCCCTCCTCAGCTTCCCTAGTAGCTGGGACTACAAGAATGAGCCACTGTGTCTGGCTCTTTCTCTTCTTTTAATGCCACTTATTCCATCACGAGGGCCCTACCTTCATGACCTCATCTAACCCTAATTACCTCTGAAATCCTCACCTATGAATACCATCACACGGGGGGCTAGGGGTTCAACATACACATTTTGAGGGAATATAAACATTTAGTTTATAGTGCCCATTAATCCTTCAAGGTGATGAGAGGATCACTAGACAGGTGACCTATCTATGAGTTGACTCTTACTTCATTCTCTTGTTGAAATGTTGTCATTTTCTTAATTTTTGTATTTAATTACTGGATTATTTCATTACCTTTTATTTCAGATTTAAGCATTTTTATCATATTACAATATGTAAATTTATTCAAGATGAACCCTACCAAAAATAGTTTTTGTGTTCTTAGAGATTATATATTTTGTATTGGGTACATTTTTCTCTGTTATTGTCATCAGGATATATTTAAATATATATTAAAATTAAAATAGATATGTATGTTAAAATTGCATGTGTTAAATATTATGTGATATATATATTTTTAAATTTTTGTTTATTTATTTTAAGCCCCTGTTCACTTTATTCAAATCATTTTTTTTTCTCTGCAAAACTAGCTAGAACTGGTGAGGAATCAGAGAAGGCCTTATATATTAATTTCTTAAGTAGATTCTTAAAATTCAAAGTAAGGATCTGTAAGAGAAGTACAGGCTGTGGACCTTGTTCCGCAGACAAAGCCACAAAGGGAGTCCTGCAAATTAGGGAGCATAGCAAATTCATTTCTTAAAAAAAAAATAGTTCTTGAGGGGAAAAATATGAAATAACTAAGTTTCAAAAGCCAGACGAGTTCCACACTCATTGCTTTCCTCCCTAGGATATCCAAAGATAGAGTTTCAAGGTATGTTTTCAATGATTCAGTTTTGCAAACATATGCAAATATATTCCTTATTAGCTGTCCTGTTTTGGCAACTAATAGCAAGCAATATGCTTGGATAAGGGGTCCAACTTCCACTTAAATGCAGTTTCTTCTCTTCTGGGCAGCAAAGCCATTTGCAGAGATCTGGAAGTCGTGAGCTTCCTAAGTGGGAAGAGGTACTATTCTGTTTCACCTGAAAATGTCCTTTCAGATTGACTGGTGTTTTATAGTCCCTTACTCGGTGTGTGTTACTGATGACGATGGGGGTCAGGGTTGCTATAGTGGAAGTGGGGGGTCGGCGTGGGTGTTTGCATAGGGGTCGTGGCTAAGCTGAGCCAGCATGGGACAATCTGGGCCATGTCTGGCACCATGTCCCCAGAGATGTGGTGAGTCCACTTGGAGAGCACTTCCAGGTTCACAGGCTTGACCTCGTCCGTGGACCACTGGATCGTAGACAGGGAGATGCCACCCTGCTTGCCAGTGAGGTCTTGATGGTGGAGGACAGCGTTGCTCCAGGTGACGCCGAGATGGTCCAGGATGAGTTTGAGGGAGCTCCTAGGCTGCAGCACCAGCTGCTTGTAGTACACGAGCAGGCACTTGTCCTTGCCCACCTCCATGCACTGGGCGTACATCACCTTTATGACCTTGTTCCA